GGTTTTGAAGTTTGAGTGGTATATAATACAAAGTGAAGGATTCATCTTACTGTTTGCTGTGGGCTACAGGGAAAGCACTCAGATAAGTTGTTCTCACTGGGATTCATGAATGCCAGAGGAGTGGCAAGTATTTAAATATCTTATGAGTTATGAGCAATAAATTGGTTTATATTGAGTGGCTGATAGATATTAGAACTCAAAATTAAATATGCACATTAAATTTACTAAATTCTAATAAGGTATATATTAACATAATGGAACATTTGAAAACAATTACCGAACTATTTAAACTATGCTGACAGAATTAGGAAGGAAATGGTACATTTACGTTAATGCAAATTAACTCAGTCCTTTTAAGAGCAACATGTTATTGAGACCTACAGAACTGTTCGTATACTTTGACCAAGCAATCTCATTCTTGAGAAATTCACTCATTGAAATAAAAAAGAAACCCTAAGTATGTAAATATGAAAGTATTCAATTTAATACTCCTCTCCCCTTCTCCTCCCTCCTCTTCCTCTTCTTCCACTTCCTCGTCTCCTCCACCTCCGTCTTCTTCCCCCCTTCCTCCTCCTCCTCCTCCCTCCTCTTGCTCTTCTTCTTATTCCTCCTCTCCTCCTCTTCTTACCCCCTTCCTCCTCCTTGTCCTCTTCTCCCTCTTCTTCCCTTCCCCTCTTCCTCCTCTCCCTCCTCTTCCTCATTCTTCTTCTCTTCCTCCTCCCCTCCCCCCACTGTCACCCAAGCTGGGGTGCAGTGTGGCTCACTGCAACCTCAACCTCCTGGTCTCAAGCTATCTTCCCACCTCAGCCTCCCGAGTAGCTGGGAATACAGGCATGCACCACCATGCCTTACTAATGTTTTGTATTTTTTTTTGTAGAGATGGGATTTTGCCTTGTTGCCCAGGCTGGTCTCAAACTCCTGGACTCAAGTGATCTGCCTGCCTGGGCCTCCCAAAGCACTGGGATTATGGCCTGAGCCACTGTGCTGGACTTTTAATGCTGTTCTTAATATAAGAAGCTGTGAATAGCTATTCCCATTAAGAGGGGGATGGTTAAATGAACCATAGTTCACTAACGGAATAGAACATTAACTATTATAATCCCGTGGTATGAACATTGTAACTAGGAGGATGTACACATATTTCTCTGTGGCCGATGCTTAGTAATGAAAGGGAATGATAAAAGCACATGTTCACCATGATTATGACTATGTGTGTATGTATATTCATGCATTCATTCTAGCAATTGTTTTGATGACTGATTATATAACAGGTGTTGGTGCCAGGTATAGGAAACATACTGAGGAAGCAATATGGTTTCTGCTCTCACTGAGGGTCAGTCAGCCGGAAGGTGGCCAAGGGAACAAATGGAAAAGTACAGAAATTCACAAAACGCTATTGGAGGACAGGCAAAGATGACGGGAAGGCTTTGTAAAGGAGCTAAGATATATCTACAGTGGAGAAATCACTTGTATAAGGATGGAGGTACTAGAAGGTACTTAAAAATTCATAATGGCTTTATTGAGCTATAATTCTCATACCTTAAACGTGCTCATTTAAAATATACACTATAATAATGTTTGCTATACTCATGGAGTTTAATACAACCATCACTGAAATCTAAGTAGAACATTTTTGTCTTCCCAAGGAGCACTGCATTTTTGCTCTATTAAATTTCTCCCAGTGTTAAATGTTTTTCCAATAAGGAACTAAGGTGTAGAGACAGAAACCTCTGATGTCTGGCCATGACAGGGAAGCTTCTGTTGCATGTGAAATAAACGGTAAGTATGCCATCATGTCTTTCATTTTTAATTTTATTAGTGACAAGGTAAATAGGTACATGAAAGTCTTCACAGATATCTACACATGTATTTAAATAAAACAAGAGTTGAGTTCTAAGAATGGAGTTTCAGTGGTGACTAGTACATGTTATTTTTTAATTTACTGTATAAAAATCTCCAAGTTTATAAAACTTAATTTGCCCCATTCTTGTGTTTTAAAACCCAGCTGCAAGAATTTAAAAAGGCAATTATTTGAAGAAAGTACAGATAGATCTTAAGAGGAGCACAGCATTTTATGAATTGTGAAAGCAATCGGCAATGCTCTAACTAGAAGCAGATACACTCAGTGTGTTGTCAGTGTCTTCTCTGGGCAGAACTGATTGCTGGAAGGTTCAGCTGACCTCAATTTCCTTCCTTCCTCCATTTGCTTCCACTTTTTTTTTTTTTTTTTTTTTTTCCTTTGAGGCAGAGTCTTGCTCTGTTGCCCAGGCTGGTGTGCAATAATGTGATCTCAGCTCACTGCAACCTCTGCCTCCCAGGTTCAAGTGATTCTTCCTGCCTCAGCCTCCAGAGTAGCTAGGATTACATGTGCCTGCCGCCATACCTGGCTAATTTTGTATTTTTAGGAGAGATGGGGTTTCACCATGTTGGCCAGGCAGGTCTCAAACTCCTGACCTCAGGTGATCCACCCACCTTGGCCTCCCAAAGTACTGGGATTACAGGCGTGAGCCACTGTGACCGGCCTTTGCTTCCATATTCTAAGGGGCAGAGGGCCACTGTGTGCATGTGCGTTTGCATGTGCATGTGCATGTGAGTAATGGTCCTCTGCAATTCCCATAGGCAGCAGTGCCTATGGGCAGGTGGAATGTGCCTGTCCCTCCAAGAAGGGACCATCTTGGCTGAGACTCTGGGATGGTGCAGTTCCTTTGGAGCCCTCATGCCTTGCTTTGTTCTGGGTCTCAGTCTTCCTCCTGCTGTCTCTAGTTCCTTCCAGAAGAGGCATAAACTATCTCAACAGGACTCTGTTTATGTAGCCCTAAGAGTTCTCATTTCCTTCACAAATATTGGCTTAAAGACAAGGGGTACATTTTTTTCAGGGACCTTTTTAGGACCTCAAATCCAAGGAGCTAATCACTATTGGTCCCAGATGAGCCAGGATCACCAGAGTTAGGGCATTACCTGGGGGCAGAGAGAGCTGTCTGGCATCACTCACATCATATTGTATAGAAAGCCACCTATCTGTAACACCAGCTCTACCTATCTGTAACACCAGCTCTACCTGGAGGACTAACACCAAAGACCCCCAGAGGCTGCTGTGGACCCCTTAAATTCTTTGAGGCAAGTTCAATGCTCATCCATAGCCACACAAACCAGCCTTGAGCTCTTGACAGACCCAAAGCTGGTACCAGGACAGCATTCAATTCACAGGCAGAAAGAGCATGAACTGCAACAGTGTGCTCCTCCATGTGCCTTTGATTTGCTCCTCAATGAAGTTCCACAGCTGTGGCCAAATGGCTCTGCTCCAGGTTATGGCATGACATAAAATTTAATGTCTGTGAGCTTGGCTCATCCTTCAAATAAAGCACGATTGTTGAAATTGGGACACAAATTTTTCCAACAGCTTTGTAAACTAAAGGATTTGGGTCAGCTTGTTCTATCATACTTAACATTTAGGAAATTAATTTTAAGAAATAACTAACGCCAGTGTAAACATGCTTCAGATACATAGGTCTACAAAATATTGCACATAAAAATTCATTCAGTATTTCTTCATAGTAATTTCTCATTATTACAAAAAGGATACAAAATTGTGCAGACTATAAATTTGGCTGGTCAATTTTACATCAAAAATGGTATTACACGATTATGAATTATTTACAAGAGTTTTAAACATAAAGAATTTGTGATGGTTAAATTCAAGATGGTGGGAAAATAGCTTAAAGATTATTCTGCAAAGTTATGTACTATAAAGATTAGCAGTAAAAATAAGTAATAATGTTGGAATAAGCAATTTTAAGTAAAATCTTTAGGAGTCATTTTTCCCAGTTTGACTCATACCTGTATAATTTTATATTTTTGTCTAAGTTATGTTCAACATGCTTTCTCTGTGTATACAAGTACAAGGCATAGCAGGAAAAATAGGTATTTAATCCCCAAACTAAATATCTATAAGAAGTGGTGCTTCTTATAGATATTAAAAATAAGGTTTACCCATATTGTTAAATTGCTTTTTAATTAATGAACTCTTGACATTTTACCATTCGTTACTTTTAAACACTCCAAAGGGTAGAGAGTACCTTGAAATTCATGTATTAACTAAGTTAATGGAAAGATATACAAGGAAATATAAATGCAACATCTTGCAAAGCTAAATTAAGCAGATGTGAGTCCCTGGATAATGTGAGTGAATGGAGTTTCAGATTGAAGGCAGCAAGATATTAAATAGAACTGATTCCTAATGTCAATCTTCCTTTCCTTAGCACTGCCTAAATTCTGAAGAAGCTCTGCTAAATGAGTTATCTGCACACAGTGATTCTTAGGAGGAAACTCAGTGAGTGATTTTGAAAATCAGCTAACCAAATCTTAATTTCCAAATCCTCTAGATGACCAGATTTTCAACCTAGAGACATGGAAAATAAATAAATAAACTGTAACTCTCACTCACAAGATTATTTTTGTCGTTTCAAAAGTACTTTCACAGTACCAACAACATATTGCTTGTCTCCCTGAGCCATAATGTCATTAGAAATGTTTCTTTTCCATAGGGAGGTGTCAAATGTTCCATTGGATACAGTAGTGTTGGACGGTTTGGTCTTGATTCTAAGTTCTATAGTAATTCAGTCATTTCACCTTAGTTCACCTTCTAAATCCTATAGTGATTCAGACATTTCATCTCTGCAACTTAAGTTGGATTGATATGGACTGAAACTTACGTGCCCATACCCATTTCAAAATGTCTGCCAAGTACAGAATGATTAAAGCAAAAGAAATCTTCCACAATTGCTGATGGCTTCTCCAGTGTTGGCGATTTCTTTTCCAACAGGCTCATGGGGCACCCATGATAATTTCTCCAAAGTGTGGTGTAGATGAGGTGATGTTTTCAGGGTCCCCTCCATTTCCTAGGTCACTGTCAGGTACAGGAAAGCCTTGACTTTTAACCCTCATGTTCTTTCTTTTTCTTTGAACAGTACCAGTGTTTGAGATCTTTGGTCTTTTTTTTCCTTGTCATGCCTCAGAGGTCTTGTCATTTGTCAGCTGTTGCTTGTCGGTCATGTCCTCCTGAGGAGGTCTGGCTCTGTCAAAGAATCCACACTACAAAGAGAAAGATGGGCTATAAAAATCAAGTCATTCTGGGAACCTGTCAAACCCCTCATTCAATGAATTTTCAATTCATGTATGTATATGTATGTATGTATGTAGGTATGAATGAAACGGAGTCTTGTTCTCTATCCCCCAGAGTGGAGTGCAGTGGTACAATCTCAGCTCACTGCAACCCCCACCTCCTCGGTTCAAGCGATTCTCCTGCCTCAGACTCCCAAGTAGGCGGGATTACAAGCATGTGCCACCACACCTAGCTACTTTTTGTATTTTTAGGAGAGACAGGGTTTTGCCATGTTGGCCAGGCTGGTGCAAATTCCTGACCTCAAGTGATTCACCCACCTTGGCTTCCCAAAGTGCTGGGATTATAGGCGTGAGCCACTGCACCTAGCCCTTTATATATTTTTGAAGGAGCCTGGAGCTCTGCACATATAATCAGCCCATTTCTCCCAATTAGGAGATGACAGCAGAGTGTTTGTTACTTGTAGAGAGGAATTTATTGCATAGGGCAAGGTGAGCAGGAGGGCAGAGTAGTTATGCCCTTTCTCCCGCCCTGTAGTGGGAGTAGCAGATGTCCCTCTTTCATACAAACCATTTATGGACCTTAGATATTTTCTTGAGATCACAGCAATATGTCCCAAGGATGTCCCGCATGCTTAGTGGAGCAGAAGCACTAACTGTTGACCCGCAAAGCAAGATTGTATAAAGTATACTGCCGGCTGCTTTCGGGTGGATTATAGGAAGAAGTGAAGAGATGGCTGCATATCCCTTGGTGCTTCGTGGAACATAGAGCATATATAGAGGGAGAGTCTATTTGTCATTTATTTCAATGCCATAACCAGGTAGGCACAGAATCTTAGTGACTTTCCAAAGGTTAGTCAGCAACTCAGGAAGGGGTGACTCTAGAATTTTCCTCCTCTTCAGTGTCAAATTAATACTTTACCAGTTAAATTATATCTTTTCCTAGAAACCTGGAACCTCAATTCTTACTTAGGTTTCTCATGTTGGAAATCAATTAACTGGGTTTGGCTTATAGACATTGAATCATCTGTCTTTCCCAGAGCTACTGGAATATTCTGTCAATTGGCACACATGACTGTGTCTTATATTCACTGGAAATACAGTTACTATGAGTGACAGAACAATACAAAAGTCCATTCTAAAGATATGCCTTAGACCACAAGAGTGTAGGATGGCACAAACAGCTGATAATGATCAGGAACACTATTCCTTAACTCAAAGCCAAGGCTTTCTCAGTTTGTAAGTCTATTCGTCATGCTGCATATTATTTCAAAATAAAAATGCACTATGATTTTAGGGAACACACCATAGTTGTCAAAGATGTAATGGGGTTACTCTTATAGTCATGTAACTGGTACGTCATTTCCATTTTGGAATGGAAGGCTCTGTGAAACTTGGCAATTGTTTAGGTTGGTGGGCCAGAAATTAATTCCTCTTGTGGACTTTTAGAACAAACCTCAGTAAAACACATCAAAGACTAACTTCAGGCTTCCCAGTGGAGACAAACTAATTGGCAAGATTAAAAACCAACTCCAAGCATTCTATAACATGCATGATCTATTTGGCCTCATTAATAGTTGAAATGAAAAATCAGAATTGACCTGTATTAATTACATCTCTGTAGAGTGCTTATAAAAAAATCTCAAAGGATTGATGATAGGGCCATGTCAATAAAAAGCTTATGATCTTGGTTAATTAAACAAGAAAAAGAAGTCTTCATTAGAATATTATCACTCGAAGCATATTGGAAAGAAGATCACAGGTCTTAGTTAATACAGCCTAACTCTCTCTATATTTATTTACAAGAAATCTCAAGATGAAAGCAACATTAAGCACACTCAGTCATCTTAAATGTCAGCTACACAAACATTAAGTATACCAAAGCAAACAAGACATGATTTTTCCTTTATAGCCTTCAGACTGCTCAAAATTTCCAAAAATGCCTCTACAATTGTCTTTTAAAGTGCCTAACCATATCCCTCTAAATTCCTTCAATAGCCCCTCTAGTTTAAAAGGAAAATAAAGTAAATCCACTTACCTTCCATAAAGCTAAGGTTAAAATGGCCAGAACCAATAATCCAAGAAGTATTGCTAGTATTATTACCCATAATGGGATTGAGAAGGAAACATTCGGGGTTGCCCAAATAACTGATGTCTTAATCTGAAATAGAAAACAAAGCAAATGAGCTCTAATGGGGACACTGTGTGGTAAAATAAAATGGTAACTACCAATACAATATTGGAAGTTGATCTGAAAGATCCATATGACAACTGAAATCATCTAGGGGAGATCTTAGAGGTAGCACTTGAACATGAACTCTTAAAAGCTAGCATGTTCCAAGATCTGCCTAGTCCTGTGAAAGTCTAATTAGAGATACTTGGTGGGTGAGTGACTTGTAGCCACGGAAACCCTAGAATAGAATTGATTGGGTCAGGAATCAACAAGGTAGAAAGGAATGGCCTTAACTTGCACCAGACATTTTAATGGGAACAATGGCCAAAATAGACAATAGAAAACGGAATGAGTCTGTCTACCATGTTTCTCCTTAGAACTCAGCTAGCCTCACTGAGAAAGGTAAGCTCGTGAATAACCATGAATCCTTGGATGTACAAGAAAGGTGGAAATCATCTCATCTAATCCCTTCATTTTACAGATGAGAAAATTAACTCCCAGAGGGGCTAAGTAATTCATTCACACAATGAATTAGTGTCAATACTAGGTCTCTTTATCCCTAGATTCTGTGCTCTGTCAATGAAGAATATCCCAGAGCATAAGGCTAGGCATCTTGTATTTTATGGAAGTAACTGCAGTGTGCAAAGCAAATGTTTAATTCTCCTGATGTGTTGGAGATGACTTTAATCCTAAATCCAAAGATCAGGCCAGCGTGGTGGCTTATTCCTGTAATCCTAGCACTTTGGGAGACAAAGGCAGGAGGATTACTTGAGCTCAGGAGGTCAAGACGAGCCTTGGCAACATGGCGAAACTCCATCTCTATTAAAAATATAAAAAATTAGCTGGGCACGGTCACACACACCTGTAATCCCAGGTACTCAGGAGGCTGAGGCACAAGAATTGTTTGAACATGGGAGGTGGAGGTTGTAGTGAGCCAAGATCATGCCACTGCACTCCAGCTTGGGAGGCAGAGGTTCCAGTGAGCTGAGATCGTGCCACTGTACTTTAGCCTACACAACAGAGTGAGACTCTTTCTCCCCCCACCAAAACAAACAAACAAAAACAAAGATCAGATGGGGACTGGAGCCCATTTCATCCCCCACTATTGTAAGGGACCTTAGAGGAAAATGAGACCTTCCTAACCTGGTTCCATGCTCAGTGTCTATGAACCATCCCTCTGTGTGCAGAAGTACTTCTATTGCTCCTATGCTGGAGGCCTGTGCCTCCAGAGCCCAGACAGCAAAGAAGCTGCAGATGCCCAAAGAGAGACCCAGCCATGCTGCTAAAACCTTTTTGTCAAAGAAAAGAGCAATAAATTATTCTTAGATGCAGACGTTAATTCACTAAGGTAGGCATATCTGTTTTTAGCAGAGTGGCAAGCCTTGCCTCCACTCAGTCTAAGGGCTCCTAGTTTTAAATGTGTTGGTTGAAATGATCATGATTTCAATCCTGAAACACACTCAAGAACTCCAGGACACATTCTATATCCACCCATCAGGAGAGGCTGAGACTAATGACTAAGGTTGGCGGCTCTGAGATTTGCTCTGGCAGAAAATGTATGGGTGTTTTCACAGCCTGAACCCCGGCACTGAGCCCTAACCATGTTCACTTTATTGCTTCTGTTTTCTTTTGTGTATGTGTTTGTTTGAGATGGAGTCTCACTCTTGCCTAGGCTGGAGTGCAATGGCGTGATCTCGGCTCACTGCAACTTCCGCCTCCCAGGTTCAAGCGATTCTCATGCCTCAGCCTCCCCAGTAGCTGGGATTATAGGCGTATGCCACCATACCCAGCTAAAATTTTTTTTTTTTTTGTATTTTTAGTAGAGATGGGGCATCACCATTCTGGCCAGGCTGGTGTAGAACTCCTGACCTCAATTGATCCAACCTCCTCAGCCTCCCAAAGTGCTGGGATTACAGGCGTGAGCCACTGCAACCAGCCGCTTCTGTTGTCTTAACTAGAGTTGAGCATCCTGATGGTGCTCTTCTCAGCTTGTCTTGGTTTTTATTGCTCCTTTCTTCTTGATCTGTGGCCCTTGTGTAGCAGACACTGATGACTCAATTCACTTGATTCTTCGGCCCCAAATGTTATTTATGTCTACACTAATAAAGGAATCGACAGAGGAGTGAGACAGGGAGGGAGTCATTCCACCTTGACAGGAATGTGCCAGGGATGTTAGATGTTCTTCATGAGAAAAAGGCTGGCTTCAACCTACTCATTACATTCTCTTTCTTTGCCTGTTAACCTTCCTTGCCAGCATTATCCTTATTTCATCTGACACATCAGTGTGAAGTATGACAGTCCGTCACCACGGTGACATTACATATACCCTGCTAGCCACTGTTTAAGGATGAGACACGTGGTGCATATGTTGAAGAAACCTATTTCAAGGAACTGCCATGGTTTCAATGGCTGCCAAGATCCTATAGCCTAAGTAATTTATTCTGAAATAATCTAAGTAATGTATTCTGAAATGATCTGATATTCACTTCCTCATTCATACATGGAAGCCAAAAAAAGTGGATCTCAAGGAGGTAGACAGTAGAATGATAGTTACCAAAAGCTGGGAAAGGGTGGGGAGGGCTTCATAAAGACAGAGGTTGGCTGACAAATGTTAAGTTAGGTAGAAGGGATAAGTTATAATGTTCAATAGCACAGTAGGGTGATTCTAATTAACAATAATTTATTGTCTATTTCAAAATAGCTAGAAGAGATTTGAAATGTTCCCAACACAAAGAAACAATAAACGTTTGAGACAATAGCTATCCTAAATTCCCTGATTTGATCACTACATTATGTGTGTGCATTTCAAAATATCAGTGTGTACTCCACAAATATGTACAATTATGTATCAATTGAAAATAATTCTTTGCATGTATACAGCTACATGAGCAAATCAAGAACTACATTATTTCTCTTTGTGTACCCTTCCTTAATTACATCTGATGACATGTATGAAGTCACTACTGAATCCTAACATTTTACTGTGCTCAGAGAATGGGCATGAAGTGATATTTCAAGGTGAGCATAACATTCCTGGAAGCAGACTCACACAATTTTGATAATGAGAATTTCAGAATTTTGGAAATGAAAAGGCAGTAGTGGTCTTCTACTCACAGGCCAATTACAATGACCCAGGAGAGAGAAATCTGGAAAATTCTGAGGTTTCATGTAAATGTTACTTCCTCATAAGCCCCAAGTCCACTGAGAACACAGTATAGTTTTAGTCCCTATTTTGAGCATATGTGAGAGCTCACCAAAATCTTCTAATTGGTAATTTAGGGTGATACAGGTGATGAATCTTTCCTCTCCTGGTTTACCTTATTAATATCTCAAGGCTGGGAGCAGTGGGTCATGCCTATAATCCTAGCACTTTGGGAGGCCAAGATGGGTGATCACCTGAGGTCAGGAGTTTGAGACCAGGCTGGCCAACATGGTGAAACCCTGTCTCTATTAAAAATAAAAATTAGCTGGGCCTGGTGGCAGGTGCCTGTAGTCCCAGGTACTTGAGAGGCTGAGGCAGAAGAATCGTTTGAATCCGGGAGGCAGAGATTGTGCAACTTCATTCCAGCCTGGGCAACAGAGGCAGGCTGCATCTCAAAAAAAAAAAAAAAAATTAATATCTTAAGTTGCTACCTACTATTTTGTGTTGAAAATAAAAAAGAGCTCAAGTTTTTTAAGTTAGAGAAAACACAAAACATGCTAAAGGAGTTGAAATAGCTGCTATAGGTTCTTTAATTGTTAGTTTAACAAAAAGACATGGGATGGGCTGAGTGGATGCCCAGTGAATACTTTGCTCGGTGACTTTGCACTTGGTTATTGCAGGTTTTGATGTACCATCTATAAAACTGACCTATCCATAGAAATAAGCAGAGAAGGTCACTTACAAAGAGCTAATAAAGACATTTGAAGGTTTTTTTTTGTTTGGTAGCAGTGATGAAAAAGTACAATGAAAATGTGAATTTGATGAAGATATGCTTCTAGGGTTTTTTGAAGCAGAGGAAAACTTTATAGGGATAGTTACAGAACCTACTGTCTTTGTGTTTACATTTGCTTCCAAAGAGCCTGACAGCAGGGTCTTTAAAAGGTCTGTGGGGAGATGATTCCCATGCAGTGATCACAAATTAGAAAATTATCTTTCAGTTCCCAAATTCTGAAATTCTCATCATCAAAAGTGTTGCCAGTCTGCTTCCAGTAACATTAAGCTTATTTTAAAAAAATACCACTTCAGGCCAGGTGCAGTGGCTTGTGCCTGTAATCCTAGCACTTTGGGAGGCTGAGATGGGTGGATAACTTGAGATCAGGATTTCGAGACCAGCCTGGCCAACATGATAAAAGCCTGTCTCTACTGGAAAAAAAAAAAAAAAACCAAAAACATTAGCCAGGTGTGGTGGTCGTGGTGCACACCTGTAGTCCCAGCTACTCAGGAGGCTGAGGCAGGAGAATCACCTGAACCCGGGAGGCAGAGGTTGCAATGAGCCAAGATTGCACCACTGAACTCTGGTCTGGGTGACAGAGCAAGACTGTGCCTCAAACAAACAAACAAACAAACAACCACTTCATACCCTTTCTCTGATGTTAGAATTATGCATGTCATATACACTTAAGATGTATGCATGTCATATACATTTCCTACAGGTCATCATTAGAGAGAATTCATTCATGCAGTTTGTTAGAGGGAAGGAGTACACAGAGTCTTAAAAGAAGGCAACCTCTGAGTGACTCTCCTGCCATGCCTGCTTTCTGCTTTCCTGGTCCTTTTACCTGTAGGATGTCCATGTTGTACTAAGGCTGCCCAATCTTCTCAATCTAAAATGAGTGCAGCTGCAGAGACCTTCCTTCACCCTTGGTGTTTTCCTAAACTTATCTAGGCTTTTGCAGAATAGTCCAGAAGTCACTACAGTAAGAACAGTGGAAATACAGAAAACCAACACAGCAACCCAGAGCATTTCTGGCATCCAGTGCAGAGGAGATATTTGACTCTTAATGGA